TAGTTTTAGTTTTTTATTTTGTTTTGTATTAATTAAGTATCTTACTGTTTTAGTAGTTGTAACAAATTTTATGCTAAGCTTAGATAAATTCTTTTCAATTGTAATTATGATAGTGTTAGTATACCTTAATTTGTTGGATTTGACTGAATCGTTCATTCCACTATTTTGAAATATTTCACAAAGCTTCTTACCCTTTCTTACACTAATACAACTCTACACAGTAATATTCTATCTTGAGTGACCCTTGGACCTTGTGAACATTAGTAAAAAAACAAAAATCAAGGTACCAAAAAGGGAAGCTCGTCAGAATAATTACTATATTTATCAAAAAGTTACAGGGAAGCTATGTTACAGTGACTGAAGCTGAGATGCCAGCTCAGGACTGATAAAATAGCATATGATAAACTTATAAGTCCAAAAGCAATAAACAAGTTTGTGTTCATTTGTATCAAATAATTTCCAGTTTCATCTGTTTCTTGCCTTTTTCACTGAAAATTCTCATTTTATTTTTAATATGAACTTCAAAGTTTAGACATTCATTATTTTTTTTTACCATTTTAATAATTACTGATTTTATTCTTCTTTAAAACTGTTCATTTTGATAAATAAAACACTATTTATAAAAAAATTTACAAGTTCCTCTAGGTTATTTTTAGCTAAATTTAAATTTTACAAGTACAACAAAGTAAACCAGAAATTCTGTCAATCCAGACCAAGCAAATCTCTACAAATATTCAGATTTTTATTCTGCTAAAAGTTTTGCACTATTTTTGTCAATGATGAGTACACAGTTTTTCTATCACAAGAGAATTGTTAATGTACCTGTAAACAGTAATTTGTGGCAGTAGAAGCACCATGCTTAAAGGGAGCAGGGAAAACTAAAGACAGGGAGGCAGAAATAATTAATATATAGATATCAAACTGTTTAGTGTAATTAAGAACAAATGGACAGACAATGGTAAGAGAGAGAAAGAAAAGGAAGGAGAGGTCAGTGGGCAAAGAAGGTGAAAGAAAAAAGTAAAGAAAATAATGAGGAGTAAAGAGAAATACTGATATTGAACATTTTGTAAACATATTGGTGGACAAGAAACATTACTGCTGAGTAGTTAAGAGCAGGGCCATATAAAGACCCCATAACTATAGAAAATTAGAAAAATGTTTTCTTTTAATTACATATTAATAGGTACTATATATATAAGGCACTAACTAAAATTTGGGGAAATTATTAATTCCATTTTTTTTTCTATTATTGTACACCCAATACAAGGAAAGATAACGACTGACTTTTTAACTTGAAGAGTTTAAGATTGTAGTGATCAGGGAAGTATCTCCTCACAACTGTTCCCCATTGCAACAGTACTGGGGAAGAAGTTGTCTGGATTCAATTTCCTCCTTACTAATGGAATATGAAAGAATAAGGATCAGTGCATGCAGTATGGCTGCCACTAGCTGTGAAGGTTTGGATTAGTGGAACAAAGAAATGTAATTCACCTGAATATCTACCATGAAAATAGCAGTAGAGTTGCAAGAGACTAGCAACATTTTATTTGTGGGGAAAGGGGCTAAAGGGTAGAAAACAATTCATCACCCACAAGGCTGCATAAATTTGATTATCATGTTACAGAAACTTTTGTTACTTTGTCAATTTAGTTCCTTTGTGATGCATTCAGCCAAAACATATTTATATATAACAGTTATATTTTCTGATCAAACTTCTAAAGATTTAGGGTAGCAACTAAAATATTAACTGACAGTTCAAATATACAAATCATATATTAGCAACAGATGGTAGCATTCTTTTTCTTCTATATGGTGTGTCCCTTCAGGATGTGGACAATCATCACTCTCTACAAATTTTCTAGTTTTTGCAGCTCTTAACAATATTAATCTTTATGATCACTACTCCTCCCTATTCTACCTTCATATTATGTAGGTTAATCACTGCTTCCCTCTGCTCCTCACACCTTCAATGTGCCCTGTGAGCATCAAATTCTCCAAACCCTCTTTCCACATTATGTGTCCCAGAAATTTCAACTCTTTCTAATCTGGTCTGGTGCTCTTGCTATATATTTAGAGATTCTTGATAGAATCCACAGAATCTGGAAAGTTATTGGTTCGGACCTGCCATCTTGGTCAATTCTCCACTGGTGTAATGTAGCTTCCCTGAGACTTTTCTATAGATACTTTCATGGTAATTGTTCTGATGAAATATCCTCTAAAGTACCTAGACTTTATGAATTTAAGCACAGTACTAGATTGGTACCAAGGTCTCGTTATTTTACAGTTAAACTGGCTAGAAGTAACCATAAGTTTTATGCTAACAGTTTTTTTTTCTTGCACTTCTTACATGCAGAACTCTCTTCTGGCTTCTTTTTTTCTAGTCAACTTTGATCTTCAAAAATTTAAATGCACTGTCAATTATTATAGTCTGTCTTCTGAATTCATGTTCTTTTATTGACTTCTATCCTTGATAGTATATTTTTCTTATATTCTCTGACACTAAGTAACAACCCCGTGCATCTTAGTGGCTTTATTGCCTTGAAATGATTTTAAAAAAAGAAAAAGAAAGTGATCTTTTTGTTTTCAATTTCTTAAAACTTACTTGTGGCTCCTATGTTTTATCCATGGTACTCTCAGGATCCTTCTATAGAAACACATCTCTATTGCCAAGTCTCCTCTTCATCTGTGAGGAGATTGTCCCGCATTTACTGTCACATAGAAGGATTGATATTATACATAGCACTATTTTCTTTGTTTTTAACCAATTGTTGCTGTTTCTTAATACTTTGGAAGCCTAGATTTCTTTAAATTACTTCTCTTATAATAAGATTATATAATAAAATTTTTAATATAAAGTATAATTTCTCTCAATGTCCCATGTCCCTTCAGGATAAAGGTAATCATGACTCTCCACAGGTTCCATTTTCTTGCTTTTTAACAATATTTGTTCCTTTGCAATCCTGCTTTGTCTTTGTGATAATCATCCCTACAAATATTTACACAAACTCATCAAATAGATTCCTGTTTGCCTCTGCTTCTCTTAGTTTTGATTTGCTCTGTGAGTGTTAAATTCCCCAAGCCTACTTTCCTCATGTCTCCTAAAATTCCAGCAGTCTTTTTCTAATTGTTAGTAACAAATTCATATTTCCTATTCTGCAGAGAAATCACTCATTTGTTACATGCTCTGTCAATAATATTCCTAAAATTTGTTGAGAGAACCACAACTTGATTGCCTCAAGACATTATTTTTTAATGGTGATGAAAATGTCCACCATTCAATGCCACAGAAGGAGGTAGACATTAAATAACAGTTCAAGATTCTTTTTGTCATTTCTAATGTCATTTTTTGATCCTGTAATACCTTCTTTTTTTTTAATTAATCATTTCACCCCAAGCAATATCACTGTCAACAATATCACTGCCACTAGGACACAAGGGGGTGAAGTGGTTACAGGGTGTGAAAGAGAATGAGAAGTAAAGAGAAAGGACAATAAAGGAACAAGATTCAGGAAGACAAAAGATATTGATTGACATTGCATTTAACTTTTGAAGATTGTAGTTGGCAGGAAAGTAAGAAATCAGAAAGGAGATCCACAGGCAAGAAGTGTGAGAAAAGAACTATTAGAATAGAACTGATGGTTGCATGAATAAGTTTCTGAAAAACACCTTTTACTAGGTCCCTGTGTGTCATTGTATTTCTGTGTCACACTATTCATCATCTGTTACTATAAAAAGTGTAGAGAGAGGAATCAACACTGCATGGCAATTGACAGTTCTATGCCTTACACAATCATCATCCTATATGAGACAGAAACAAATTTGGGACTATAACTGCATAGTCAATTAAAATAATAAATATGATAAAGTAATATATACTGGCATTAAAAATCAAAATTATAAGACCTGTTTACATAAACCTGGAAGATGACATTTGAATACTTACTCCTCAGTACTAGCACCTCCTCTTTCACTCATATCACACCTTATTCATCACAACTAATTTTATAGTAACCCTCTACTTTGAATGGCTCTTGAGCCTGATTTCCTCTGAACTTTATTACAAAAAAGGGGATAGATATTATTTGACATTACTTATCATTAATGTCATTTTTTTAAAATCAATTCATCTCAGGCAAAGCGATAATGCCACTAAGATGCATAGCAACATTAGAAGGAAAAATAGCAACCATTTTTTCAAAATTTCAAATTAATAGCCATATTGATTTGAATCTTTAACATGGGCCATAATGGTTGATTTAATGTATAACTTCAAAGTTTGCAAGAGGTAAAACAATGCTGTAAATTGCAAAAATGATCTGCTGGTAGCACTGAAAAAATTTGAAGGTCTTGGATCCCTTCAATGCAAGTCTGATAAAGACAAGCTGACAACTTTATCTCATGAACTTGTGCCCCACATCACAAGAAAAGTGATCAGATATCCATCATGATCAAGCTACGGAATTTTTAGACATTGTGGCAATAAGTAAGTAGGTATTGACCAGGCTCAACATTGCTTAACTTTGGTGATCATACGGGAACTCGTGTTTCAATGTGATATGGCAATAAGCAATATAATCTAAGAAAATTCATATGTAGTATTATATAAAATATGCTGCACATTGTAAATATTTTCATAAATTTCTTCATTAGGAAAAATAATGTGAGAAGAAGTGTAAAAGTTCGAGGCTTTTGTTAAAAAATGATGCCACCAGGCCTTGTATAAGTTTGCTTAGTTTATGCCTAATATTTATATCTGGATTATATAAATGGATGTTGAAAAATGTGATCAGCATGACACCCTTCCCAAAATCTGACCAAATATCAGAATTCTTTTAATCTCTTCTTGGTTGGACACCTTTTCAAGACTGTCTTGTAAAAAGGGTTTTGTGATTATATCTTCAAGAATGGCAATCAAACAACCATTTGCCAAAACTTTCCTCAGTATTTTTTTTTATTTGTGGCTGAAGTATCTCTTCTCTTTCATAAAGTCTTGTGATTTTTCATAGATAGATGAAGAGTTTGAGATAGAGGAACAAACTGAGATAGATAGATAGATAGATAGATATGAACATGATTCTTTCAGAATAGAAATAAATTACTAAAAGAAAATTGGCAGTTATTAAAATTACATCACTGTAATGTTAAGACATTGCTTTCTCTCTGTTATACACACACAAAAATATACATAAATTATAAATATTAAGAACTTGCAGGTAACACAATGTTTCATCATTATGTTCATCAGGCTCTGCAAGTCAATATCTTTTAAATGAAATGATAAAATAAAAGAAAAAAATGTTAAATTTAGTGCTCCCATATTTTCAGTCATTATTATAGTCAACATTTATCATTATATATCTCCCTCCCCTTATGCATAAATCTATCAGTAAGAACATTGCTTTAGTCTAATGAAATAGAGGACAAAACACATTGCACAAAAAAATTTTCTATGTTGTTATTCAATTGCCCAACATTGTTCTGATATATAGAAATTAATATACTATATTCTAATATATATATATATATATATATATATATATATATATATATATATATATATATATATATATATATATATATATATATATATATATATATATATATATATATATATACACATGGCCAAGTGGTTAGAACATTTGTATTCTGACCATGAGACCCAGGTTCAAATCTCACCATGGTCAATTTGTCAGGAAGGAGATCTGGAGGGGTCAATCCCAGCATGCACCTTTGGAAAGTGCATGAAAACCATACCACAGGTTGACCCAGACCTTGTGAGTGAAATTGGGTAGACAGAACCCTTGACAGCTGTCCATAGCTTTGCTAGCACAGTCGCAAGTCATCATGGCCGAGGGCTTCAGCGTGCTGGCCTTGTTCAAATTGTTGTTCACACTAGATAACATGCTCTTTCATAGAAACTGTAACTAAAGTCTGCTCAGCATAGTTGTAGTATAAACCACAGGGTGTTGAACAAACACAAATGCACCTGAGCAATAGGGATTGGCTAGCCAACCCTAGTAGACGGGTATCCCCGAATACAAGTGGCCAGCTATAATGTGTGTGTGTGTGTGTGTAGTGGTCATAGAAATTTTGGTAGACCTTGGTACAAATATAAAGATAAACTGAAGAGCAACCTTTCTTGTGCCAACATTCCATTCAAGAACTTTGAAGAGGTAGCTATGAAGAGATCAGAGTATAATAAAGCACCATCAAGCAGTAATCATCATTCAACTGCATGAAATACGAAAGCAAAATAAAACAGCTAACAGTGTTCCTGCTGCACTTGCATGCAATACTTTCTCCTGTACAGTTTGTGCAATTCTCAAGCCGGCCTCAAAAGTCATGCCCATCATAGGCATGCAAATAATTAGTAGATGGTCGTCAGAACTTCATATGTCAAACTCAACAGGAGAATCTATCATATATATGTGTGTGTGTGTGTGTGTGTGTATATATTTTTAATATATACATCTATTTAAAAAGTGAATAGACTTAAATTAATAAAACTAGAAAGACCTGTGAAAATTTCAAGGTTTTCCTATTTGAATTTTTCTGATGACTTAATTCTTAAGTTGAGGATTGAATAAGCTCATGGCAAGTTCTATGACAAGAAATTATCTGTAGAAATTCCCCTATCATTGTTAAATATTTGTCCTTAACTTTAATAAAATATTGCAATAACAATTATAAATATGAATGTAGGTCATTATTTCAAGAGGTGGGTAAAAATAAAGAGATTTGAAATTGACAACTTTTTCCACTTCACTGAAATAGACATTAAACACTTTTATCTTCCCTTCTTTCTTTCATTTTCTCACTGAAACCAAGTAGTCATTTCTCCTCTCTCCATGCGATCAAAACAGAATAGTCCATTATTTATGATGTGCATAACGGTTGTGTAAACTAACGAAGGGAAAGACAAGCACAATTTTAATAGGATGTTTATGACAAGTTTCAAATAATGACTAATTACAAAGCAAAAAAAAAAAAAAAAATGCTACTTTTAGTTAAACAATTTTGTAACCTTCAAAAGATGAGACAGATATACCATTAGCCTTGTACCACACTTGCCTTAATATTTCTTCTCAACATCTTTTTGCTGCCTATCTTCCATTCATATATTGCATTCACTCATGAGAATTAAATTTACACAGAAGTACCATAGATTTTAAATTTAAACAAAAAATTAAAATTAATCATTCCCATTTGGTCTAAAAATGAAACTCTTAAAGACATTAATATTTACAAAAATCATTTTAATTAATAAAATTTTAGTTTGGTTTTTATGTGAAAATACCTTTGGGAAAGGTATGAATCCATCTCTTGCCCTCCAGCTATGGGTAAATAGCAGAACAGAATGGAACCTATAGCTTTGGGTGGAAACTGGTCTAAGAGAAGAACAACTTTGAATTCAAAACCTCCAACTATCCTCACCATCCTGCAATTGGCCAAGCGTGGTGAGTACAGCTACAGCCCTGAAGGCATGGTCAATTCAGGGTGGGGTTCCTCCATCAGGAGTGAGGGCCTGGATTTGGATAACCTGAGTCATAAATAAATCAAGTGAGCAAGGACACCAATCTCAATTGGGAGAGTTATTCAGATCAGTAACTTTATCTTTTTTTGTGATTAACATGTTTCAGGTGGTTTGCAGTCCAGCCTTTATCAGATAGCATTTACATTCAGTCAACTTAAATTCATTCATGAGGTTATCTTGTTTATTCAAACTATTTGTAGGAAGTGAACTTGCTATTTTCCTTCATGTCTTTTACATTCAGAAGGGCTGAATTTTAAAGTCAACATTAATCTCCCTTCTTCATTTGAATATAAAATGCAGTAAATTGAATAAAAGGCTCTGTTTTGAAATTTGCTAAATGTAACTGGATGTAATAACATAAGACTTCATGAAATTTGTAGTGTAGGGCAGATGAAACACTTTTAAAAAGCAGATGAAACACTTAAAAAATTTATAGAAATTAAATCCTGATAATACTTCACTCAAGAATTTCAATCTGGCATTAAATATATCTACCAACACAAAATCCATCATTACTAGAAATGTTTTTCCTTCTTATTTTGGAAGCATAATAATAACTGTCATCAAAGGAATAAAACTTGAAATTCCTCAGTCTGCAGTCCTCTTCTCTATTCAATCACATCAAAATCTGTTAATCTGATCAAGCATGAAATTATTGGTTTTCTTTAGATTACAATGCAATTTTCTGAACATAAAAAATTAAAAATCTCAATAGAAATTCACACCTTTGGATTTTTAATTCTATACTTTAAACATTCAGATATACAACCAAGTACCTAGTTGATTAGAAATAAAACATACATTACTCGGCTGTTTTAATCTCCCACAATGACAACAGTAAAATTTGTCTTATCACCAAGAATCTAAAACCTCCTCTACCTTCTAACTATAAATCTAAACCAGAATTTTTTTTTTTAAGATAGTCTGTTTTAAAAACTAAAAGTGAAATGAACACAAATCCCAAAATTTTCAGAAACTATAAGACAGTAAAACAAGAACATGCCAACAAAACAAAATATTAATTTCAACACAATGGCTCATCTGGTTTCTGATTAAGTTTCAAAACATACAATTAAACCAATTTTATTTTGAATCAAAAAAATTCTAAATAAATAAAACAAAGTTAATGTATAAAGATTGTTAATGATTTTATCACACTCTATCCATAACTCTCTGATGTTGGCATCTTGAAATTGTTGAATTAAGATTTAATGGAATTTTTATAATGAATTCAACTGTCACATCAAAAAGGCGTGTTTTGCATCATTATCTTTTTAAATATTATTCATATGTAAGGAATATCAGTATGCAGTGCTTGGACCTCATATTAAATTTCTCAATAGTATAAAACCAATTTTTAAATGTCTAATTGAATGACTAAATAGAAGAATTCTGTATAGCAGGTTTCAGCTTTCAAAAAGACTTCATCAGGTGAAAATAATGTTCTTATTAATGGAATTATATACATATATATATATATAAAATGGGAGGGGATGAAAATAAAGACAAAATGATAAAGTTTCTTAACAAATCTTCTATTATCACAATGTGGGATATTTAAAAACAACAAAAACAAGTGTTGGGAAGCTGAATGAAATTGGCTAAGCTGTACGTCTAGACACACTGGACACCAGAAATTTAAATCTTAATGTCCCTACCAATGTATAATAATAACCAACATTTCATTTATATTTCCACCTTCTACCCCTACATATATAAAATTCCATCAATAAGAACATTAAGTCAGATGAAGTCCTTTTTAAGGATGAAACATATTACATTACAAATAAGAATTTATATATTAAATCATCTCATATTCAACATTACTAAAATGTACTTTAACAATGGTCCATAAACATTTTGTGGGTTTAAAAAAAAAAAAAAAATTAAAGCTTGTGTATATGGTTAACAGAACAGGGATTAGGAGAGAGAGAGATAATGAAAAGATAAAATTTACTAAGAGCTACAAAGGACAGGATATTGTGGAGAGCCATGACTGACCATCTCCTAAAGGGGCAAGGCACATTGAAGGAGAACAACAAGCTTGTGTAAATGGTTGACATAACAGGTATTAGGAGAGATAGTGAAAAGATAAAATTTGCTAATAGCTACAAAGGTCAGGAAATTGTGGAGAGCCATATTTGCCATGCCCTGAAGGAACACAGCATATAGAAAAAGTATTTTGATCAATTGATGTGTGACTTACTTGTTGGTGTTTCTTTAGTGGGAAGGTTTAATTTATCTAATTAATAATGGCCTAAATTTGAATATTATAAAATTTATACACCAGCATAAAAAATATTTTCAAACCTATTCAGTAAAAAAAAAAAAAAAAAATATAATAAAACAACATCATAAATTAAATGCAACCAGGATTAAAACATATTTATAACTACAAAATGAAAAAGAAATTTCCTTTTTTATTTAAAAAATATACAAGAATCTACAAAAATCCAGTTATTACATATGCCTTGTTGAAAGCATTTTCATTTTCCAAAAGACATTTAGTCATTTATGTATAAATATTTTTTTCTAAAAAAATAAAAAGAGTTTGAAGCCAGGAT